GAGCTTACCTAAGACAGCCTCTTTGAGGGACGCCCCAGCTATAACCAGCCCCTTCTAGACCTTGAGGACAGAGTCCCAGAGTAAAAAGTAGAGGAAATTTTAAATGTAAGGATAAGGTATAAACGACTAAATTACTTCATCAGATGGAAAGGCTATAACATTTTGCATGACTAGTGGGTCCACTTTGACTGCGTCTTTGCTTTAGAGAAAATTGCAGAGTTCCATTGCAAGTACCCTGGCAAACCACAACACATTGCCTCTGCGATCTTTGACATGATTCCATTTTGGTCAATGTGTTGGGATGCCACATTCTGTGTGTTCGATACATGCACAGGTGCCGTTCTTGTTGCCACAGGGGATTTCTTTTTGGATTTTGGGGATGGAGGAGTGGAATGGGGATAGTAATATGCTAGTTTGGAAATTAAGTGAGATGAGATACAGGTGGATTGGCAGTTTTGCTTATTGGCTGGCAGGTTTCACTGGGGGCACATACTGCGATACCACTGCTACTATGCTCATGGACAGTCCCTGTGGCCATTGGCTGTTGGAAGTATTATCCAATGGTGATAGCAGTGGCTGGGAAGAAGCACCAGCCGCCCTGGCCCGCCCAGGAGCAGGCTGGCAGGAGGCAGCCAGCAGTCAGGTGTCTGTTTGATGCATATGCTGGCGTGGCATAGAATCCAGTTTTACATGCTGTGGTCTTTTGGTTTAGTTTTAGTTTTGGCATGGGATTGGATTGTATCGGGGCCATACTGTAAAAATGTACTGTCAAACAGAAAGGAAAAGAATTGATATATGTTTTCAACTGGATACGACTTTTTGGGGGGTACAACTTGCCACTTTCGGAGTCTTTGGATACGACTTTGCAGAGATTGGATTGCTGAGATGGGCATGTTTGGGGTAGTGCTGGCCAAATATGATTATATTATCTTATGGGCATAATATATTATGATCACATCATATTCAGAGCTTCAACACAATAATATATCTGTAGTATAGTATAACCATATTCAGCGGCAAAATATAAATATGTTATGAATATACTCAACTATAATTTAGTACATATATCTCTTGATATGTTTGACATATTTACTAGCAGAAAAAAATAATAGAAGCATAAGAAACATGCTGGATTGTCAGGCCAACTTCCTTTGGTCTCTCTAACTCCAGTCTTGGATACATTGGACTCCGAAATATAATCAGGGGCATTGCCACTAGTATTAGGTTGGCCAGTAGACACTTGATCAGTGGTTCTACACTATGTTTAATAGGGTCAACCCAAAGTGATCACTCCTGACACTTGTTCCGACCAGGAGTAATGTATGAATCACCATATATAATAGATAATATATGACATTTATCTCAAGTAGGGCTAACTCAGACTAAGATTAATACCATGACTGAGCACATAGACTGAGAAAACAGCTGCAATCATCTACCTAATGATGGTTGAATATTCTGTGACTATAATATGGTATAGTCATAATATAATATAATATATTCAAACATAATCATATTGAAGTGATCCACAAAGGGCATAATATATTCATAATATTCTGAATATATTCAATATTTAATCAACCATAATATAATTCTGGCCAGCACTAGTTTGGTGGATTGGTCTGCTGTGGCCTTGGTGTGCTGAGCCTGGGGAAGGTACATAGGCTCCATGAGCAGAGGTAGTGTGTTGGTATCGTCTCTGCACTACTGTCCTGACCTGATGGGCTGGACACCAGTCAGCATGCAGTACTTACATACTACGCGGTGTTTGGCATGACTCGGAGCTAGGCCGTGCGGTCGGATGTGGAGAACGATGTCTTTTTTTGTGCATTGTTTTTTTCTGCTGCTGATCTTTTAGCTTCGCGGGTGACGGGCGTGCGCGCTGCTTGCCGGCCACCGAGCGTCGGTCGCAACGGGAACGGCGACGAGCGAGGATTGCCGTTAATTGGCGTGGGAGCATCACGGAGCGTGATAGGGGATGCCATGAGGTGCGCCGGATCCAGGGCCGCGTGGCGGCTGGGTGACGGGGCGTCTCTCTTCCCTTCTTGTCCCGACGGCGACCCCCGCTAGTGGCGTTGGGTGTTTGATGATTTACGATTCACGACCACGAGCACGATTTGGACGAAGGACGACACGATGGCCACCCCCGCTGCTGCCTACGGTCTACCCCCACTACCGCTCGCTCCCCGGCCCCGAACCACGCTCGTTCGAACTCCCTGCGCGCGCGCTCCCCGCCTCCGCCCCAAGGCCAAGGTGGCCCCCCGCCCCCGATGGAGCTCGTCGAGGAGGGCCTGTGGCTGCCCCCGCCGGCACGGAGAAGGACAAGGTCGCGTTCCCCGCGTCGTGCGCCCCCTTCCCCGACACCGCCCCCGTCACTCCAGCTGTCACGCGCGATGACGATGAGATGCCCCCGCGCCGCGTCCGCGTCCGCGCGCGCACGGTGCACGTGCCCACGGTGCAGCCTGAGCCCACAACACCCTGCTCCTCGACGTCGGCTGCGAGCAGATCCCGCCCGCGCCCGCGCCCGCGCGTGCCAAGCCGCGCAAAGCCAAGCGCACGCCCAGCTGCACTACCACTTCCTCCCTGCCGACACCGCAAACGTTTCCCACCACCACGGTTCCCGCCGACGACGCTCCCCCCGCTCCCGCACGCGGAATGGCCCTCGTTCGAGCCCCAGCCGGGGGGGTCGTTCGCGTTAGGGAATTTGAGGTAAATTTAGATCCTTTAACTTTATGACTTAGACAGTCCGCAGAATCCTCAAGCGCGCGCACTCGCGCGAAGATCGGCGGCACAGGCTCCTGCTTACGATCGCTTGCTACGGCAGCTTGCGCGACTTGCGTTCCTTCTCCAACTCCCGTTGTTCAACTCTATGCTCTCATCAAATTGTCCTGCTCGGAAACAACGTCGCTGAGGACCGTTTACGCGCCCCATTCACCACCCCGACGACCCGCGCATCCACACACCCGCACTGCCGGCCTACCGCGTGCACGGCGGCCACGCCCGCAACCACGCCGCCTGCATCACGCTGCGGATGCGCGCGTCGGCGGCGGCGGCGGCGGCGGCGGTCGTGCCCGCGGCGCCCGGTAGCGCGGCACGGACGGCAGTGACGTTTGCGAGGACGGCGGCGAGCGGCCCGATGATTTCCGCGAGCGCCGGCCCGGGGGAGTTCGGCTCGCTGGCGAGCACATCTGGCGGGACCGCGCCGGGGCCACCGAGTATCGCCAGCAGCGTCGTGACGAGCGTATCGTTCAGTCCGGTGAGCGCACCGGCGAGCGCCGCGCCGAGCAGCCCCGGGCCCGTTGGTCGCGGTGTCGCGCAGGGATGTAGTAACGTTGCTGTCCGCGATCGTGAGCTGCCCGTCGGGCGGGAGGATTGCCTGGTGTACGTCATCAGTGATCGCGGGCAGGATGGAGCTGTATTCGGCTTACCTGTTCAAGCTTGCCGATGGCAGCTACGGCCGCGTCTTCCGCCAGCGAGACGACGGTGCGTGCGAGCCCATAGGATACAGCCTCGAGGTCCTTGAGGAACAAAAAGAGGTCCCGGCTGGCGCTTTTGAGCGCCGCTTGCGCCGGGGTCTGCAATGCGTCAATGGCAATGCGCAGGGAGCGGTGTGGCGCCCTACCAGGATGATGCGTTCGATGTCGGGGTGTGGGGATGTGGCGGTGACAGCCCGGGGAGCGACGTGTGCGACAGCGCCACGGCCCGCCGCTGCTGCTCAGTGCTGCGACGAGGCGGACAGCGTTGCGGGCGGAGAACAGGCGCATGGGTGAAGCTTGATCGGGCTGCCGAATACCGTCCTTCTTTCACGCTGGGTATATGGGAAAAGCCCTAGGCCGCCGCAGGCGCTAGCGCGCCAGCAGATGTTCGCAACTGCCATGCTTGGCATCCCGTCCTGCAAGGAGCCGGCGAAGGCGAAGGCGTTGCGTTCCCGCTGCCAGGTAGATAAGTACTGCTTGCGGTAAAAGTTAGACTCCTACTAACAGAGTCGTTAGCGAACGTTGTTGGAGCCTCCGAGCAGGACGTCGATAACGCACCCTTCATCCCCACCTGTTGTTCTCCTCAGTGAGAGGAGACGTGGCATCTTCTACTAGTAACACGCGCAACCCGTTCTCCGCAAGACCAGAATGCTGAGCGCGGGACACAAGCAGGCGGCGTCCGAGGTGTCAGACACCATGTCACAGCGCAACCCAAGTCAAGAAAACCGAGCTCGGAGCCGGCTCCGGATGCCGCGACGAGGCGCACCACCGGGTGCCGACCCCAGCATGCCCACTGCCCAGCATGCTACACCGTACACCTGAGCGCCGTACACCTGTTGTTCGAGCCGCTGTCGAGTTCGACCCCGAGATGCGCAGAGCGGTGGGGCACATGGATGTCGGGACGAAGAAGCGACTGACGTGGCACGTGCGGGTCCGTGCGCGCCACGTCAATCACGCAGATCTTCTCGTCCCTTCCTTCCTTTCCCCCTCCGCCCCGGCCTGATACTCCGCGCCACGGTCTTGATAGCACACTGGCACGGCCGTCGGGTAACGGTGTCGGTGTCGCGTTCGATAGTCTGTGAGCCAGAGGCTGACGAGTACCCGCATTCTTGAATCTTCGTCCGACGCAACGACACCCGATATGGCCCCGCCCTAGCCCTTTGCTGCCGCAACGATAGCAGGGCCGACAAAAAGGTGTACACGGTTCGTGGTTCGTGGGCTGCTGCTATTCGTCCTGTCGGCGCCGCTGACAATCACACCTCTGGCAGGGAGCGTTGCCCGTGGCTAGCACTATAGCGTGGCGCATGCAGAACGAGAGACGATAGCAGCACCTCCGCAGTTGATTTCGACTGCCAATATTACGAATGCCGGTCATATAATTGTCCCCGACCATCGCATTTTCCCCGGACAACGATTTGCCTTAATGTTAACACTTTGAAGTTTGAACTACAACAAAGTGTTTCTTTTTTTGCTGGGAGGCTTCAACGACAAGCAATGTACGCCATACGACGCAAATACATTAGCCTATAGCCTCAGGCCTTCATCCACCCACATCTGCTCGACTGCACGCTGAATGCGTTCATAGCTAGCTGCAAGACCATCATCCATGTCATTGCCGCGCCGGTCATTGCTCAGAAGGGACCACACACCTATGTTCTCCGCAGCGAATGCCGCCTCGTCCACCCAGGGTTCTCCGCGGAGCAAACCCGTCGCCGCCGCGCGACACTGCCATCGGAGCGCAAACGAGGCCGCATCCACGCCAATCGCTGTGAGCGTCGGAGTCGCTGCGGCAACGGCGGCTGCAACGGCGGGAAGGTCGAAGTCGGTGTGGGCCAGCTGTTGGGGCCATGCGGGGCTGCAGAAGAGGAAGTGCCATTTGAGCACGAGGGTCTGCAGGGTTGGCGCAAGCGAGTGCGGGGCGCAAAGACTCTGTAAGTAGGATGGCGCCTGGGGGATGTCGATGTCGTCAGCGATTGAAATCACACGACTAGAGGCCACACACGAGTTTACTCTCCTCCGAGGCGTCCGGCGCGTCCTCTCCCCTGAACACCCGTTGGAAATTGATCTTCAATGAGCGCAGCGCAGGCAGACAGGCCCACATAGGCGCGAGGAGAGATGCCTTCGCGGTTGGCACGTCGAGCGAAAGACACACCAGCAGCGGGTGGGCCGTTTGTATCAGCTTGCACAGTGTTGAGATATTATCTCCCGCCGGAAAGTGAAGCGTCCTGAGGGCGGATTTATCCCCATAGAGGAAAAGCTCCACCAGGGCAGAAGACCCAGTTGACAGATGCGCAACGGTGCTGACCAACGACCGGCACCCTGAAACAATGTCTGGGATGGCTGGATGCGCGCTAGATATGCCCACAATAGTCAAATCTTGGAGCACAGGGAACTTGGGAAGCAGGGAAGCAAACACTGGCTGGACGGTAAGGTTGGGGTAGATTCTGACGTGGGTGACGGTGGGAAATGTAGGGATGTCGTGTGGGTCCTCGCTCCATGCACGTAGATTGCAGGACAGGTCCAGCTCTTTCAGCATTGCAGAGCCGAAGAATGGTCGATACGCAGCAAGGGTGGCGCTGGTGGTCACGGTGTGCTGGGATTCTATCTTCAGCACTAATTTCCGCAGCTTCGCCAAAGCTCTGGTGTTTTCAAAAGCCACAGGCTGTCGGGAGAAGCGACAGACGATATACAGGACCTCAAGAGACGGCAGCAGATGATAAATGTTGGACAATGCATCGGTCGGCAGGGTGACATCGTCCAGAAGCACATGTTTGAGTTTCGTGAAGCGAGACAAGCGCGAGAAGAAGGTATGCAGGCCCGAGAGCCGCATTGCGGCCTCCTCGTTATCCTCCGCGACCAATGAATCTCGGGAACGCGAAGCCCGAATTGTGCAGGACCGGACTAAGGGGGCGATAGAGTTGGATGTCCAAGTATCCAGAATGGAGGCGGCACGTTGGAGCTCTTCTCCCCCCAATAGATGATAGATGATATCCCAGCCCCCGTCTCGTCGACCCATACTGCAGCCATAGGGTACGAACTCGAAATGCGCGAAGAGCAATGGCCGTGCGAGGGCGGCGAAGGCACGGCTTGTCTCCGTGACAGATGCAAGTGCAGCTGTTGGAAGAGCTTTGAAAACCTCCAGCCAGAGTTCCGGCGGCGTCGACAAGGACGTTGGCATGGATGGTGGTGGTTGTGTGAAGAGAAGAGATGGCATGACTAAGCACGGCAACGATCGCGTATTCGGATCACATATTTGATGTGCTAGCGCATCATGTGACTTTCCCCATCACTTTGCCTGAACCACCACCACGCGAATCGTGTCCGATAGCCTCAGGTGAGTGACTCTCGCTGCTTAGCGAGAGGGCACTCACCATGTACAGAGTCCCCCCGAGCTCGTTGAAATCATCATCAGTTGCATTGACCACTGCATTGTGCAGACCCTCAAGGCCTCCGCTGTTGTCTGCTAGTGCTGGCCAGAATTATATTATCGTTGATTAAATATTGAATATATTCTAGATATTATGAATATTTTATGCCCTTAACGCATCACTTGAATATGATTATGTTTGAATATGTTATATTATATTATGACTATACTATATTATAGTCATAGAATATTCAACTATAATCAGGTGGATGATCACAGCTAATTTCTCAGTCCATGTGCTCAGTCATAGTACTAATCTTAGTCTGAGTTAGCCACATATTATCTATTATATATGGTGATTTATACATTACTCCTAGTAGGAACAAGTGTCAAAAGTGATCACTTTGGGTTGACCCTATTAAACATAGTGTAGAAGCCCTGATCAAGTGTCTAGTGACCAACCTAATCCTGGTGGTAATACCCCTGATTGTATTTTGAGGGTCCTATGTATCCAATGCTGGAATTAGATAGGCCCAAAAGGAAGTTGCCCTGACAATCTAGCATGTATTTTATGTTTTTAATCTTTTTCTAGCAGCAAATATGTCAGATATATCAAGAGATATGCATACTAGATTATATTTGAATATATTCATAATATATTTATATTAGTCAGTTTGCGCTAGCCACTGGACAGCTACAGGGTGGTGTTTTGATGTTGCGCATCGGGTGGCTCCCAGTGGCTGTGTGACGTTATTGATCCTGCCTTCTGCCTCCATGGAGGTTGCTCTTCTGGCTTCTATGCATTGCTCGGCGATCTGCTTGATGCACAGGATCAAAAGTGGATTCAACGCCAAGGAAGGTTCCGCCCCGGTGGCTGGGTCAATCTAGATGATCTCGGTGATGACATTTGGCTTCAACAGTTCAGGTGGGTGTTTATATGGTGCAAGGAGGTGAAAATACCGAGGTTCTGGATTAAGATTCACCTGCGGAGAAGCCAAACGCTTAGCTGTTGTTCTTGATCTCCCCGAGATCATCCGCTGTCCCGAATCATGCGATATGGAGGAACGACTTACTGCACTGTGTATGCTGCTCTGCCGACTCATTCATGGATCCCGCCTGGTGGATGTTGAGATGCAGTTTGGCTGGGAGCGCTCTCGCTTCTCCCGTATCACTTGTCTCACCGCAACACACATCTGGGATCGTTGGAAGCATCTCCTTCGCTTCAACCCGTATCGCCTAACGTGGGAGAAGTTGGCAGAGTTTGGCACTATCTTTCAGCGACGAGGTGGACCTTTTGACTGTGTCTGTGCACTGATCGATGGGACACTTCGTAAAATCGCACGGCCAGTCACAAACCAGCGACTCATATACAACAGCTGGAAGTGTATCCACTGCCTCAAGTATCACGCTGTCATCATGCCTGATGAGATTGTTATTCACATGTATGGGCTGTGGAGGGACGATGTCATGACGAGACTGTCTACTGACAGAGTGGTCTTGCTGCAATCCTCAACCAACACTTCAACAAACCCAACAGTGACTCACTCTTTGTGTACGGTGACCCTGCCTACCATGTATCTGCGAATATCATGGCGGGGTATGCTGGTGCTGCTCTCAGTGCAGAACAACACCAGCATGAGTGCTAGTCGAGAGGCTGTTGAGTAGTGCTTCAAGGAAGTCGTTCAGCAGCTTCCGTTTTTGGACTTCTCCAAAAACCACAAGCTGCTCCTCTCCCCTTGTGGGCTTTACTATTTGGTGGCAATTTTACTTGGAAATGTTCATACCATCCTCCACCGACTCCAAACTCCACACAGTTCTTTGACTGCTATCCACCTTCTCTGGAGGAGTATTTCATGGGTGGGCCAGTCAATAATGCGGAGCTTGATGCTTGGGCATTAGGTGCACCATGGATAGAACAGGAAGTCGATGATCAAGTTAATTCAGATTTGAAGTAGTGTATAATACATGTCAATCTTTTGTAGTAAGTGCCATGAGGAGTGCATTGTGCCGTTCAGCCTCCACGAGGCGGCGCTCAGCCTCCTGCCATGCCCGTTTGGCCTTCTCATAGTGTCTGTGTTCGTCTGATTTAACCTGCTTCCACTGCATGTCCATGAGGCTCGCCTGTGCAGTGGCAAGAGCCCCCAATCCATCCACCATGTTTGTCTGCAGCGCCAGCATGCACTCTTGATAGGCAGATAGGCAACCGTCTCCTCGTGTCGCTAGGCATCGAGTGCCCGTGCATCCTTGAGCAGCTTCGCATCCTTCGCAGTGTGCTTCTGAACAATGTTGGTCAGTTGGTTCGGACCGCGCCGACGTTTGGGGGGCTGTCATTTTTTCTTTGTCAGAATCATCCGACACATACGCCCGAGGGCATCTGCGGTTACAAGGTAAGCCAACGATTCAACAGAGGAGAGTCAGCACACACTTTTGTTGGTCTTGCTTCTCCTGCACCATCGCATCCTCGAGCGTCGTCACATCTGTAAGTCTATCCTGCCAAACCAAATCCTTCATGGCAGCATCCTGAATCTCCAGGCCTCCCTGCATCTCAACCTCCTTCCTCTTGGTTGCTGCCAAGGACTTCTTGATCCTTGCTTCAGAGCGAGCTTTGAGGAGCAAGACGATATGGGTTAAGAGCTGTGGCGCAGACTTAGACACGAGATAAACTAGCTTAGCTTATCTTATGTATCCCTTGACTTAGTCAACACTTATCTTAAGCCAAGAACTTAAGCATAAGGAAACTTAACTTTTATAGCCACTTACATATTAGGATGGTCTATTCAGGATTTTCTTAAGCTTTTGCAGGGCTAATCTTAAGATCTTATCTTAAGTGTGAGAATTTCCTTATTTAGACTCCTCCCCAATCCCCTGGTGTCGAGTTGCGCTCAACAACAGCTCGACGCGTTGTCCTCGGTCACATGCTTCCCAAGTGTGTTTTCCTCCTACTGGGGCGCCTGTTCCCTATCGTCACGTGCTGCATGTTGCAGGCCCGTGGTGGCCCAACACCAGTGCCGGAGCGGACGGGCTGGGTCTTATCTGTGACAGTGTACACCACTATATGCATAGTGATTGAATGTATCTGCTTGTAGCTGTATGTGCCGCGGAGCTGTGCCTTGGACTCGTGCTCACCGTTCGACCTGGCCGTGCGCACTTTCATCTGTTGTAATGTTGTTTTTTTCTCATTCTTTTCTTCTCTTTGGCTGGGGCCATTTTGCTTCGTTCCACTGGGTGGTTCGGGTCCCTCGTATCAGTACTAGTGTATTGCACTAACGGAGTGAGAGTCACGCCTCCCGCAATGAGCTCAGACTCAGACTCGGACTTGTGAAGTGCAGTGTACCGTTCGACATGGCGGGGGGGGGTCAAGATCCTTATCAGGCACATAGGGTGGGGGAGGAGGGGCCCCAGGGGTAGCAAAAAAAACTGTTTGTATAAAGATTCTTGGAAACAAATATAGGCCCATATCCATTAAAAATATACTCACAAGGGGGGAGGGGGGTCCTAGAGGGTTGGGAAAAAAAGAAATCCAACCCTATATCTGAAATTTGAAGGTTGAAGCCCCCCTTGGACGTGGCCGCGCAATGCTGCCAGGTCGGAGTATGTACAAGTAGTCCTGTTTTTGCATCGTCAGGTCTAGATGACCAGTAGCATGTGTTTGGTGTCAATGACCTTTGTAAATCCTCCTTTCTTGCGACCATCTGTGCATTTTTATGAACGGTCCGCTAACCGTTGTTGTTATTGTCATGCTGCTCGGCTTCCTAGCTTTCCAGCAATACCCATAACATGAGGCCAACCTCCAGACACCACTGCGTAACTCCTTTAATGAGATAATCACAATCTATAGTCGAGTTGGACGGTTGGACGGTTGGACGGTTGCGGGTTAAGGTTGCTGCGATCTGCAGCCAAGCCTCGGTTTCCATTGAGTCAGGCCTCCCGTTTAATCGCACTTCCACATGCCCTCGTCCTTGCCTAAGGTCCGAAATCGCGTTCCAATGCTGTCAGCGGTTGATCCATTCGTAGCCTGGTTGAACTGTCGTCGGAGTGTTCTGAGTTCGAGTCCCAAACGCGTACTGAACCGAATATGCCTTTTAGTTTACACTCCCTTTTAGTATATATAAAGGATTGGATGGATCCTCTATGTTTGTTTGGGCTCTGCTGTTGTTTTGGTTGTTATAAGAGTTGTTCTAAACAGCCAGTTGCTATCAACAACGGTCGAGTCGAAACGCCTCTTCGCAGATATCTCCCTAACTGGCCATTCGGGACTCTTGCCAGTTCTTAGACGTGTACTGTACCCATGAAACGAGCAAAAACGGTGGTTTTCTGTGTATGTTCCAAAATGCGGCTTATCAGCGGCCCGGGGTTGATGTTAACGGCACTGGCATGGCAGGCGACCATGACATTGTTCTCCACAACAAGGTACAGGTCAGGTGGGCACTCGTGCACCGAGCTTGCCGACCCCCATCCACAATGCATGGTGGCCCCAGAACTAGAGCCAGAGCCAGAACGGCGAGTCCACAGTAGCCAGGCCTAAGCCGGCATGGTTGTTCAGCACAGCCCGACTCTAGCGAATAGGAATATAAATCAGTTAATTTAATTTCTAGGCTTGTCCTGCGCTGCTGTACACTGCGGCTGACTTGGATGCTCTGTCATACCATCTTCGAGGTCCAGAGGGGGTTTGTGGTCACTGGGGTGTCTATTAAGTCCTGTGGCGACCAGAGGACTAGAGTCGGAAACGGAATCGAAATCGGAATGCACTTGGGGGCGGACACCGCAGAAGGATGTTATAGTAATTATTGAGCTTTATTCAACCCTACATTCTGGACTTAGTGCGAAAATTCTGTTAGAAAAACTCAATATTATTATGAGCATACGCGTTGATAAGCCGCAGTCTGGGACAGACCAGGAAACGACTATTTTTGTCGATTTTGTTGCTCAGCGCACATCTCAGAGTTGACATGAGTCCCGAATGGTCAACTAGGGAGATATCTGCACAAGAATCAGTCAAAATCCAGTCAAAATCTATCAAATCGCTCTCAGTGATTCCAAAATCTTGACCAGGAAAAGTTCGCAGAGCCCGTTTCTCGCTAGAATCTATCCAATTCTATGCAAAATACCCAAAGGGAGTGTATTCTAAAAGGCATATTCGGTTTGGCGCTCAGTGGAGACTCGAAATCGACAACTCCTAGACAAGGGACACCCCTATCTCTGTTGGTATCGACGACTGACATCATTGGAACGTGGTTTTGGATCATGCTGGAGGATCGAGAGTGCCAAGGGACGGTTAAACGGCGAAAACCTACTCAATTGATTGGGGCCTGGACCTGTGATCAACAGCGACTCTAAAACACTGTCGAGGAACAGATCATCTGAACATTGGAAATGCGCCAGGAGAGTTGGGACAACCACCGCTGAGGCCATATGCACAAGATACGAGTTATGGGTGTCAATCGAAAGCTGGGAAGCAGAGCTATCCACTTATCCTACTCAAGATCAAGGGATTCTTCACAAACCAAACTAGATGGTCGCGAACACGGAAGATTTACACAGGTCATTGACTCCAATGCACGCGATACCAGTCATCTGGACCTGGATTTTCGACTCTGGGCCGTATGGTGAAACGATACCTATACAATTATGCACATGGACGACTTTTCTTACTCGAGATTTTCCCTGATTCTATCAATTTCTGTTTAGTATTTATATCTCTGTTTTGTATTTGGCAGGTTCACGGATTGCCCCGCTCTACTAGGTGCATCTGGGGATCTAGCTCGTCAATCTATCTTGCTAGCTCTTTCGAAATAGTATCATCGCGTCGGAAGGATTATTGGTTGAGGGTTTCGGTTGCTGAATACAAGAGTTCCGGTTGCTGTTTATTGGGTTTTGGTTGCTGGTCGAGAGTTTAAGGCAGTTAGTTCCTGACTCGAGACAACTCAGAGGGTTTAAGGCAGTTAGTCCTGATCCAACGAGTATAAACTCTCCGGGCATCATATTGGCGCTTCTCTATTGCTGAGTTTCGTCGATAGTACGCTTTGGGGCATGACAAATCAACGTTTTTCGCAAGAAACTCGTATCTACCCTACAACCTTACACATCTGTGCCAAGGCTCTGTTCACAGGGGCCTGTACTCGCACAAGGAGTTGACGATTTTTGGGTTTTTGTGACTTTTCCTACTCGACATTATACATCTTTCTCTCTACTAAAAGTGGAGTTTTGGTTGTTTTTGTTGGTTTGGTTAGTTAGAGAGCTCATTTGCTGTCCCCACTCCGCACTCATCAGCGTTACGTCAGGTGGCCATGTATAAGGAGATTTATTCAACCCTCTACCAAGAATTATTCAGCCCTCAGGGCATTCTGAAAAAAACTGAGCCTTATCAGTGCCACCCGGGCACTATACCACTGATAATGTACAGTGCTTTGTGGGCTAAACAGGTGGGGCAACTGTTAGGAAAGGGTTGACACATTTGTGATGACACGGGTGAGAAAGGGGTCAGACTGGAAACGGAGACAGACCGAATCTCTGGGGGTCAAAAGGGAGGTCCCCCTGATACCAAACTAGAAAGAAATTTTGACTTTTTTGTTCACAAAAAATCAGTAAAAAAGTTTCAAATATTCCCTAACATATTTTCTTGCTTCCCAAATGTTTCAGGCTTTCCCAATTTCCGGTCCTTTTAGAAGTGAATACTCAAAATGCAGGTTTACAACATGATATTAAGAGGTTGAAGCAACGTTGAGGCTAGTACAAATCATTCACGCTACAAGTCCATATTGCTATATTGCAAATTTTGCTTATAAAGTCCAAATTCCATTACTTCTTTCTTTTCTACCATCAGGGCACTCAACGCAGTTAATATCAACCCTGCGAACGGCCAGCCTGAGTCGGCCCGGCCCCCGAATCGCGGGCGTTGGGCGCGTAATACGCATCGTATGTGAACTCGGCCTCCGCACCGGATGATCCCCACAGCTCCCCGGTCCCCCATTGGGCGTTGTATTCGAATTCTGGGAACGCCTCTCCCGGGCCAGCGGGGTACAGTGCGGGGTCGTACCAGTCGAACTCGGAGCCGCCCGGCAGTTGGCCTCCGGGAAACGCCAGATCCGGATTGTAGTGCGTCGCGGGCCCGGGCTCCCCATAGTACCCGCCTGCCGTCCCGGGCCAGCTCTGCGCCGACGACGGCTCGGACGTGGACGGCATATGTAACGAGGGGTATGCGTCGGGCGAGGGGTGGTACATTTGCGGAGTCGATCTGGAGTGCGAAGAGACGACGGGGGCGGAGGAAGCCCGCGTGGCGGCACTCCCGCGGCCTACGGGGGTACCGGGCCGCCTGCCCGAGCCCGGCGCGCTGCCGGTGCCTGTGCCCGTGCCGGCGGGATTCATCGGGCGGAAGAGCGGGCTGAAGTTCGGGTCGGCGTACTCGCATGGGAGGCCGCGCTGCCGGCACTGCGCGCACGGGGCGAGCGGGGTGGTTTCGTCGGGCTTGCACTGTCATCGCTATTGGTGACAAAGGCAGCGCGCGAACAGGGGGTGCGTACCTTCACTTTTCGCTGGCGGCACGAAAGACACGCCTTTACGCTCCGCGAGGACATGCCGCGGGGCTGGGCGGGCGTCCGACTGGGGCCACTAGCAGATGCAGCTTCAGACCGGTTGCTGGTGGACGAAGACATTCGGAACTGTCGGGAGATGGGCCTGGGGGATTGTGGTTTTATATGCCTGGTCCTAGCTTCATGCTCTCGTGTCGCTGACCGCAGCGAGCGAACCTGATGAGGGCTGTACGCAGGCCCTCAGAGGGCGTTGGCTCAACAGCTTTCGCCCCCCCGCGCGTGTGCTACATTATCTAATCGAGGGCAACGGCCGACGACGTCCGCTTTAACAGCTTTTGTTTGTGGAACACGGGTGGAACAGATAATCGAGGGCGAGTCCGGTCGATAATGTCCGACGCCTGACGATGATCGCCGATCAGAAGGTCGGATTGACGGGTGGCCGCTGGCTGGTGTGGTCATTGAACGTGGTTGCCCACAGATACCATGTCCGGGCCGTTACTTATCATGTTATATTCACCAGTGGGCTTTGCGAAAAGCCACAGTCTCTGCAGCGGTCCGGAAGCCGCAGCCAATAGCCAATTCCACCCCCACAGAAAATCGGTCGCCAAACAGGGCTGCGACGATCCAGAGCAAGCTGTTAACGCCAAGAGAGCAGATCCCGGGCCGGACGATGGAGGCCGTGATGACGTCTCGACGATCACTGATCTGCGGCAGCGGGACGCCGCCATCGTAGGGAGAGAAGGCGGGGTCGGGCACGCGACGCCGTCCTCGGCGCGCCATCGCATCAGACGGAGGCTTGGCGCACAGCCCGTGCGAAGCTGATTTCTTGCGCCTGAGCGATGATCTTTGGATGATCACCAGACTTGCCAGTGCACGGACAGTCGCCGGCGGCCAACATTGACGAGGATGAAACGGGAGCCGGGGGCCGGTGTGGATATATCACATAGGGGATCGCATGATAACTTGAAGGCTGGGTCGCGTGAAGACAGGACGGAAGCAGACGTGCTTAGGCCGTTGTGCAAAAGAGATGCAGAGACTCCTGGCAAGTATCCTAGTAGCATTCGCGGGTTCAAAAGGGAGGAAGAGCAAAAAGGCACACCGGTATCAGCCTGCGCCTGGACAACGCCTACATCAAGACCCCTATTGCGAGCCATTGGCGGGGCTTGTAAGAATTGACGGAACGGCCGCGCCCACAATGCAGGCCGGCGGACGACGGCATGGGCATAGGTGGCGATGGACGTCAAGCAGAAGAAGGGTGTCACACTCGTCACGTCAACAAATCAGCAAAAAGGGTGTCACACTCGTCACGTCGCTTAATCTCTTTTGCTTCTCTCCACCATGTACTGATAATGAACGCGACTTCGACTTTGTCAAGCTGCGACATTCATAGCTGCCGCACCCTCAGCAGCGTCATCTAGAGCTGCCTGGCAACCATCTTCGCCTGTGTGTGGCTCAAGTGTGGCTGAGAAACTCTCCCTTTCCAATCGGCGAGTTGATTGATCGCCGCATGTACATATTGGCTTCCCATTCCCATGTCGTTCCTCAAGCAGCAAACTATTCCAAGGCAATGGGATCCTATACGATATAGCTACCTACTAGTAGGTTCTCAACGGCAATATCACTTGTCCCCACCTTCAACCTCGGGCTCTTCGACGATTTCCTCGTCTGCGGACAAACATTAAGATGGATTATGGTATGTCTAGGTCAACGCGCGGACACGGCTCTACTTACAGTGTTTCGTGCACAGACTCCCCTCTTCAAAGACTCGTCCACATTTCTGCGCGCCGCACATGTAGCGCCAGAACTGCTCCGACCCTCGCTTCGAAGCGCGTTTGAGCACGATCTCCTTCACGGGCAGGGTCGCCTGGGTGCCCGGGACCTTGCCCGCAATGTGCACGGTGCTCTCGCCGCCGATCTCCAGGGTGCAGCTGTCCCCGCCAGTTCGGACCGACTTCTCCAGCGCGTCGAGCAGCATCAGGCGGCCGGCGGTATCGGTGAGCTTCATGCCGCTGGTTGTTTTGTTGTTCACGAGGAAGACAGTGCCGAGCACCTCTCTGTCACCGTCTGCATGTCATTCAGCGCCTGCTAAGAGGGCAAGGAGTCTATGGCCATACCCAGCAAGACCGTCCACTGCCAGCCCGTGCTTTTCGATGCGTATTTGAGCTTTATGCCCGCGACACGCCCGGATGCAGCGTAGACGTCGTCCGTGGCGAAGGGAACGAAGACGTCGCACTCGGGGAACCGGTCCGGCACCTCGTCGCGCGAGGTGTGCCCGTTCTGGACGAGCCCGCCGAAGAGGTTGATGGCGATGGCGACTTTCTCGATGTTCGAAGACATGTTTGCGATTGCGGAAGACTGCGGTGGAAATTCTGTGACTGGGGTGCGATGGGTGCGTTTCGCTCTGTCCTCCCCCCGCCATCTTACCTCTCTGAAATACCCCCCCCCGGTGCTGTCCACCCAGTCATTTCGTCGCCAGCCCTATATCCGTCGCGCACAAAAGTGGTACCATTTTGACGCTGCACACCTCTACAGTCCAACAACTACTGTACACCGCTGTGCGCAATGCCCCCCTCCGAAATATGCACAAAGTGCCCTCGCTGCTGCACGCGAAGCGCAGCTGTCCAAAAGGGGCAATTTTGCTGCCTGATAAGGAAGGCGGACACAGGCTGTTGAGGGCGGCGCGTAACGAAGCTATGAATATGGATGGGGCGATTGCCAAGCTGGTCAAGGGCGTTTGGGGCGCGTCGAGTCAGAGCCAGTGTGGGCGGCCATGTACCGCGGATGGGCTCACAGCTGGCCTTCGAATGTTTACGATGCGGTCATCGTAGAATGTATCATTCTTCGCACAGCACAGGCGGCGTTTGCGGACACTAGGCTGTGTTTCCGCTGACTCGGGTCGAGCTCGTTATAGCTATTCATACAGTCATGTATGGTGCACAAGCCAGACAGTGCTTACTTTGCCAGTGGTCACCCTGATCGTATGCTTATTTTCGTCAATCGCCTAGCAGACCGTGACAGTAGTAAGCAAGACTCCAACTATTTACTATGCATATATACTGAAAGGCTGTATTGTATTGGGATATGAGTATTACTGAGTTATAACCCAATGTATTGAGTATATAGTAGATAATATATTGTTTCACATTATTCTTTGACATGTTGATTGTTATTTCTCTAGTATTCATGTATCTACCACAGTTCTGTTTTGGTCTGAGGATAACAATAACATCTTAGTTGAAGTTACCCAAAGGTGTCAGGGGAACCTCCCTTTCGGCCCGGAGACGCGCCCGATTCCGGTCCGATTCCGGTTCCGACTCCGGTCCGGCCCTCCATCTTGCCCGCACAATCACCGATCCGTCAACGCCCTCCCGACGGTCGCCCTGGGACCTCGCCTGCGATGCCGCCCAAGCCTTCTGTGCCCGACAGCGGCAGCTACGGACAAGCAGTATATAGTCAGCTACTTAGCAGGCGGACCCTTAGAGTTTCTTCTCTTTGGATCCTCCCCTGCTAGGTCAGCTTCATTTGTATTCGCTTACCAATGTTCACGCTTTGGATCCTCCCCTGCTAGGACCTTGATCTCAGGCCTCCGGGGTTGCCCTTACAAAAGGCTTACACCTGCCAGAGGCTGATATTATATCTGCTAACCCTGCAAATAGTCAATAAAACAGTCAATGCACAGATATGAAGGAAACTGTCATATTATAACTGAAAATTTGAAACAGAGTTGAACGAGGTTTGTTTTGTTTTGCCTCGTATCCTAACTTTGGCTTTCAGAAGACAATTGGATTGGCTCCGGGGACCCCACAAGGGCAAGGAGAATCACTGTATGTATGGGGGTACTTCTGACTTCTATATAAGTTCCACGAAAAAAAAATTGAAACAGATTACCTGTCTTACCCAGTATTGATACTTACATTCCTTAGATGTGATCAAATTGCTTATGAGTACCTTAGCTAGACTTGATAGTACTAATAATGTGCCTATGATTTGTGTTGACAATTATCTGATTTGCTCATACTCATAAAGGTCAGTCACCAGAGGGTGTTATGCATGTGATATATGTTTCTCCAGGATATTTGCTGTCAAAATCTGTAAATGCGCGGAAAGCGCAGTAACCTCAGTCTCCCGCTATATGGGATCAAAGACTGTATCAACTACCTGTAAATGCGCGGAAAGCGCAGTAACTAAGTATAGTAAGTATTTATATAAGTTAAGTAAGTAAAGTAACATACTCTCAGTCTCCCGCTATATAGGATCAAAGACTGAGGGGCAACAGAAAAGAGATGTCAGTATATATGTAAATGTAATGTACCTGCTGACACTCCCGGAACTCCCATGGAGATCACTATCACAGGCCGGAGGCCGGGGCGGACCGCCATCAATTCCTGACATTTGCTACCCTGTGTATAGATACAAATAATATACTGTTTGATCCTTATCAACCTGACAACTTGATGTGTTTGAGCCCTTGGTGATGGATTTCGACCTGATAAACTCCCCTGCGATATTCCAAAGGATGAGGAATTACATTTGTTCAGGACCTCATCCTTTCCAGAGACGTCATGATATACCCCGACGACATCTTGATTGCCTATTCCGACCTCCGGAAACACCGTCAGATCGTTCGGGAGGTCTTGCGGCGACTCCAGGAGCACAAGTTGTACCTTTGAGCGGAGAAGTGCGACTTTGAAAAATCGTCAATCAAGTACCTCGGAGTCATCACCTCCCATAACCACATTGAAATGGAACCTGTCAAGGTTGCGGGTGTTTCCGCTTGGCCGACTCTGGAAAACGAGAAGGAGGTTCAGCAGTTCCTTATGCCCTCTCCCGGAGCCCCGACCATGGAATCGATTCCGACAACTCTAACGTCATCCTTCTGCGACCCGAACTCTTCCATGTCCATGCACTTAAGGGCGTGTCCATTTCCAGTCCCAACTCTGACGTCCTTTGCAACATCTGCGACACCCTCTCTGGTGAGCCTGACCTGGAGGAGCCAGTTGCATTGGCGGCCCGGCAACTCCTTAGGGTCCAAGGTCAAGCTCGAGGCCCCCACTCCCCACGTTCTGACGAGTAGGCCGTCTCCAATGGTCTTCTCCACTTTCGTGGGAAGATTGTTGTACCCAAGGACAAGGACCTTCAGAGACCCATTTTCGAGCTCTGTCACGATACCGAGTTGCTGGACATGCGGGTCACTTCAAGACCTTGAAGTTGGTCTCCCGGAACTACTGGTGGCCTCCGATGTCTCGCCATATCAGCCGGTACATTGTGACCTCTGACTTGTGCTGCTGCATCAAGGCACTCTGGAGACTGCCCTATAGAGAGCTGCACCCTACAGAAACGCATCCAGAGTGTTGGCATACTGTTTCCTTTGATTTTATCGTAGAGCTCCCCAAGGCCTATGGGTACGATGCGATCATGGTCATCGTCGACAGCCTCAGAAAGTGTGCCCACTTCTCGGAATGCCATACAACGGTCGACGCGATAGGAGCAGCCTGTCTTTACTACAGGAACATCTGGCAATGCCATGGGACTCCGGAGCTTTGACTGTGGCTCGCATATCATCCACAGACAGATGGTCAGACAGAGCACGTCAACCAGGAATTGGAGCAGTACCTGCAGATCTTCACCAACTGCAAGCAGGACGACTGGGACAAGCTGATTCCAGCCACAGAGTTTGGCTACAATAACCATGCACTAGGCTGTTTCCACATTTTTTCCCTGTGAAAAGTTTGGTAAAAAACTTCAAATTATTAAATAAGCTTTTTGTGAGTCAAAATTTAAACTTTTTTCAGCAACTTGTGTCTGAAAAATGTCAGAAATTTTTTTACCTAATTATAACTAAGAGAAATGTCAGACTATATATAGAGAAAAAGCTAGGACAAAAACGAGTTTTTTTCTAAGAAAAAATTAGAAAAAAATTCAAGACATTTTTCAAGATTTTTGCTAGGAAATGTTTCAAATTTTGCATCAGTAAAAAATTGTTACACAAATGACAAGTTTTTTTCTTAATTTTTTACATGCCAAAACTTAAAATCTTTATCCTAGTTTTTTCTTTATATATAGTGTGACATTTTCTTAGTAATAATTAGATAAAAGAACTTCAAGTTCTTTTCTGACATTTCTCAAGCAAAAGTTGCAAAAAAAGTTCAAATTTTGACTTGGAAAGAATTTATTAAAAAATCTGAAATTTTTTACCTAACTTTCCATAGGGAAAAATTGTGGAAATGGCCCAGTGATGTCCACTCCTCCACGCAACAAGTCCCCTTCATGACAGACACTGGCCGGCTCCCGTGGATGGGCGTCGAACCCACAGTACCACTCTCTGGAACCGTTCAAGGTACTCGTGGAGATCAGCGAGGGTGCCTACAAGCTTGACCTCCCCCCTGCGCTACTCAAAGCTCCACCTGGTCTTCCCCCGTTGTCAAGCTCGAGCTCACCCAAGACGACCCCGTCGATGGACGCCCCAGCTACGACCAGCCCCCTTCAGACCTTGAGGATGGAGTCCCATAGTGGGAAGTAGAGGAAATCTTGGATGCAAGGGTGAGGTATAAACAGCTGAATTACCTTGTCAGATGGAAATTCTATGATGTGTTGCATGACCAGTGGGTCTGGGTCTTATCCATAATATGAATATTGCTTGAATAACATGTGTTTCTAAATTACAGACATTCCCACCAACTATCGAATGGCACACAGATGCCCAATGGCCTTCTTAAAAATCTCTTGCTAGTATATGTTGAGTGCAACCCAAGTCAATAACATTTGTGTAATTATTTCTCCATTTGTGGACAATTTGAGAATAGTTACTTGTAAATCACCTTAAGAACAACTTGTTCACAGTACTGGGTGCAAAACATGACTTACAGCTTTGTATCCCAATTAGGATTGGTCACATTTTACAGCTTTTCTTACCAATTTAGGACTTTAACAGCAGTGACCCCAAAAGTGGAAGTGTGGAGCAAATTAATTGTTAAAGCTAATGCCAAACATGTGCATACACTCACATGAAATCTGCTCAATATAAGAGTAATGTTAAGTAAATTGGCCAACAAATTCTTCTCAGAGGAGCCATTTAACCTCCTGTTATTACTGGCCAGGCTGTTTCCTGATGAAATATTCAATTTAGTCATGTTGTTTCAATATTATGGCATAAATTTAGTATGTATTGGCTATTATCGCTATCCTTGGAATACTCTTGCCCTACAAATAAGTACTATATATTTTTGCCAAGTTGGTATCACATATTAAGCAGGGACAACAGGAACGGTCAGCTAGTTCTCTGAGCTCTCTACATAGCAAACATGTTTCAAGTAATATCATAAATACACAGGAAAGAA